CACACATACACATGGCTTGAGAGAGGCATCTCCAGGCTCATGTCCTGGCTACAGGCTGCCAAGCTGCTATGTCTGCAGCACTGGACTTTCTCCAAAGCATCCTCCAAGGCAGGAAAGCTGCTCCAAGAAGTAACATTCCCAACAAGTGCTGATCCTAGATGAGAAAGAATGCTCAGGAAGGAAGCAGCGACTCCAGGACCTTCCCAACACTGCTTGCTTGCTTGCTTGCTGCTTGGTGGAGGCACTGAGATGTGCAGAGTTGGAAGAAGAGAGGCCAGGCAGAGCAGGCTGGGGGTACAGAGAGTTGGCTGCAGAGGAGTGAAGGGAACAGGAGGTGGGAGGAGAATCCTGAAGCAGTACCCTGAGCATCGGAGGGTAGAGGGCTACCCAGAGAGGATTAGAGGGGAGACAGGCTAATGGAAGGGAAGCAGGGTGTAGTAGCCATCCATAGACAGGTGGGTGGAGAACCCAGGCCCCTGCAAAGTTCCATAGATCATCCAAGGTCAATTGGGGGTATTAAACGCCATAATAGGGCATTTAGATTTTATCTTCTAGGTAATAGGGAGTCACTGAAAGTTTAGAAGGAATGTATCATATTATCTTCTTGTTAATTCTTTCATTTCAATATATAAATACCTATATATGTATTATATGTGTGCATATAAATTGCTTGCTCTTTTTGATACAGCATCTTACTATATAGTTCAGGGTGATTTTGAACTTACTAAATAACCCAAGTTGCCCTTGAACTCTCGGCAATCCTCCTGCCTTAGCCTTCCGAGTGCTAGAATTACAGGCATACATTACTATGTCTGGCTCCAATTCTTCAATAAATGTTGAATATAATTTACCTTAAAAATGTTGAAGATTGATTTATTTTGGTTTTGGATGTATTAGTGTTTTGACTGCATCTATGGATGTGCACCACGTGCACATGTGTGTGCTACCCTCGGAGGTTAGAAGAACTGGCAGCAGAGTTCCAGAAGGTTGTGAGTCACCATGTGGGTGTCCGGAACCAAACCCCAGTCCTCTCCAAGAACAAGTGCTCTTAACCCCTGAGCCATCTCTCCAAGCTCCTCATCTAAATTATTTAAACTACTTTTTCTGGCCATCTACTATGTGTTCGGTACAATAAATTAAATAAAAGTGGTTTACTTCAATGATCCAGTATGTTAAATGAAAGATAATGAGATAATGGCTGGCCCGAAGTCTTTCTGAAAAGCCATTGACTATGACACTGGGACTTGTTTCCTCTGCATATACTGGATTTTGGGGATCCAGTCTGTTTGGATACTCACCTTCCTGGACCTGGAGGGAGGGGGGAGGAACTTGAACTTCCCACAGGGCAGGAAACCCTGACTGCCCTAAGGGACGAAGAGGGAGGAGGAGAGGGAGTGGGGGAAGTGGGAGGGTGTTGGGAAGAGGGGCGGAAATGGAAACTTTTATAATTTAATAAAATTACTTTCAAAAAAAAGATAATGAGATAAATGAATAAATTATATGCCATGTTAGGGGATAGGTGCAACCGAAAAGGCGGAAGGGGATTGGGATGTTTGGGGTCTGTTGAAGGTGATCGGTGATACTACTATACAAGGGGGCAATTACAGGCCTCATGAAAAGTGAAAGACTTAACCATGTAAGGGAGGAACACTCTGGAAAGAGAAGATGGTATGCGCAAAGATCCTGAGGCAAGAAGGAGCCAGAGTGTGCAAAAGAGCCACGGGCTACCTTTAGGCCAGGGACTGTTTTAGGAGAAACAGCACTAGAAACCAGGTTACTGGGACTCAGTTCAGGCTACAGAATGTGTAGAATGGAGGTTCCTAGTTAAGAACTGGACACAGCATGGGTGATTGAGGTGCAATAGGCTAGAGAGATAAGCCCAAAAGTCACTGGTACCTACCCATCCTGGAACTATAGAGCGAAAGAGATCAGCAGAGGGCAAGCCCAGATAGAGAAGAGAAAGACCTGAGTCTGGGCACTCTCACATCAAGAGAAGGAGCCAGCGAAGGGATTCCATGGCCCTATAGGAAGCAGAGAGACAGCACCCACATCCTCGAGGTACCAGAAGGGAAGAGAGCAGAGCCCCTTGGTAGGCACTCTGGAAATGGTAAGAGGTGGTGTGATAGCCAGAAGGCAGGTGAGGGACCCGGTGAGAGTGGCCAAGGAGGGAGTATTATCATCCCGGCCCCAACCCTGATGGAGCCAAGGCCCAGAGAGGTGAGAGGCAAATCTCCTTGACTGAGATCACACAGCTTGAAAGAGGCGAGAGCCAGAGTCACACACCTGCCTGTCATGCACACTTCCTGTCAAGAGTCCGGTGCCTGGTGCATCTGGGGGACCTAGACGTGTGGTGGTGGCTTTGACGGGGACAAGCGGCATCAGTGAGATAGCTGTTCCTTTCGGGAAGCAAACAAGCTTGGTGTGAATGGAGTTGGACACGAGGTGACTGAGGACAGATGGGGACATCATCTGAGAGGCAAGGGGGCATGGCCACATAGGCCTAGGAGACCAGAACTATTGGCTCAGCTTTGGAGTTCCTGAGTAAAATCTGTGAACAATGATGCAACAGCCCAGGGGGCTGAGGCTGCGTGCACAGAGTTCCCTGGGAGAAAGGAAAGGCCTGTAAGGAATGCTGCTTGCCAGGCGTGGGGAGACCAGGAAAGAGCCATTGCCAAGAGGCGAGCATAAGCAAGCCAGAGAATGGCTGAAGTCATTTCCCATGCAGAGTCTGGCAAAGCTCAGGACTGGGTAGCTGCAGGAGGCTGGGGAGGGGCAGGACTGGAGGAGAGAATATAAGGAGAACTGAGACACCCAACTTGCTTCTCCATCTCCTTTCAAAGCCAGGCCAGTGCTAGTCACCCCTACAGAGACCCATTTTCTCCTCTCCCCCTCCTCCTTTCTCCTTTTACATGTATGTGCACATGCATATGTTCATATGTATGCAGGCCTACATACGTGTGTGTATGTGCATGCAAGCCAGAGGACAACCTGAAATGTCATTCCTCAGACACTGTTTCTGCAGTGCCGGGCCTTTGGTAACATCCACCTTTTTTTGAGATAGGCTCTCGTAGTGGCCTAAAGTTCACCAAGTCAGCCTTTCTTCACCTCCCAGACCTGGCATCAGGAGCACAGGCCACTATACCTGGTTTAAAAAATAGAAACAAAGCTGGTCAGTGGTAGGACACCTGATAATCCCAACACTTGAGAGGCAGCAGCAGACAGAACTCTGTGAGTTCGAGGTCAGCCTGGTCTACAGAGCAAGTTCCAGGACAGCCAGGGCTACCCAGAGAAATCCTGTCTTGAAAACAAGCAATCAAACAAACAACAACAAGAAAAGAGAAACAAAAAAACACTGAGTTTCCCCTGACCTATCAAGCTTCACCCCAATCTGTAGGGCGTCCATTGATGCTTTCTTGTCTCGTTTGAAAGTACTGAAGTGGCCAAGCCTTCAGAGTCACGCACGTGTGAGAGAAACTTCCAATTCCGGTAACACAAAACAAATCTGCTTCAGGAAAAGCGGATTTATGTGCATCTGTGGCTTGCATACAAATTAAATGATAGTTGGAAGGTGGGCGGTATATCCTCAGGCAACACTTGTCTCTAGGTGGATGGTATGGTAGGCGGGTGTCTCATTATTTGTTTGTATTTGGGGGCTTTTTATAAAGAACATCTAATGCTTTGTAGGAAGAGAGAAAGATGAGTCCATTAGCTACCTTGGAGGGAGTGATCTGAATACAAAGTATTTGTGAATGAATGTGTTACCTCATCGCTGTCTAAGAAGTGAGGAAGAGCTGTGGCAAGAGAGTGACCAGCCACGCCTGCGGGATCTAAAACACTGACTTCTCAGGCTACACCCAGGGCTCTTCCTCTGACTAGAGACGGTTGCTTACCTTTCACTTTGGAATTTGCAAAGGCCTCTGCCCCTCCCTTTGTTCCTATGAGTCTCACGAGGACGGCCACCCCATCTTTTTCTCTGTGGTGTGTGTATTTGTCAGCACTTGTCTTCACACAGGAGGGTGTGCATTCGGAGATCCAAGGTTGATGGTTATCTCCACTCGTTATTTTATTACATTTATTTATTTTGAAGGGTGTGTGCAAGTGTCACAATGCAAATGAGAAGGTCAGAGAACAACTTACAGGAAGTCGGTTCTCTCCTTCCCCTGTGTTTCTGGGGATGGGGCTCAGTTTATAAGTCTTGGTTGGCGAACCATCTGGCTGGTCCTCCACCTTTGTTTTTTAGACAGAGTCTCTCGGTGAACTGGAGTGTCATCAATTGCACTAGACTGTCTGGCCAATAAATTTTAAGGATCCCACCTGTCCCCTACAAAAATCCACCACTGCCACCCCAGCGCTGGTTGGCACCACCATGCTAGGTTGGTTTTAAAACAAAAAGAAAGAAAGAAGCTTGGATTCTGGGAATCCAAACTCAGGTTTCCATGCTTATGCAAGAAAGCCATTCACCTAACCTTGCCATCCCATCTTAAACGTACCTAAGGACCCAGGAAGCTCTCTCCTTGCTTAGAAGAGTTCTGGAGAGGGAGGTTTGTTTTTTATTTTGGGGTTTTTTTTTATTCAGTTTGAAAAAAATGGGGGAAAGATTAAGAATATTGAAAGACACCGTTAGCCTGGGAGGGTGGAAGGCAAGGAGACATCAGTGACCTTGCAGGATAATGGAAATGCCGTGTCTTTATGGTGGCAATGGCTTTGAGGAGTTACGCAACTGTCAAACTCACTGGCTTGTACACTTTAAATGGGTGCAGTTTATATTGCGCTTAAATTATCCCTCAGTTAGGAAGAGTATGAGGAAACGAGGCAGCCTCGGGCTCCTAGGAGTTCACACCAGGACACTCCTACTCACCTCTCCACGGGCATGCTCAGTCTCCTGCCCTCGCCTATCCTCCACCCCATGCCCACCTCCTAGGTCCAGCCACCTCCCTGAGGAACAACTATGCCTACAGGAAGTCATCGCTATGCTAAACCGTTCTGTCTCTGTTCCCCAGGATGCCAACCTGTCTATATATACCAATACTCCGGACCTCACACCCTGTTTCCAGAACTCCCTGCTGGCCTGGATCCCCTGCATCTATCTGTGGGCTGCCTTGCCCTGCTACCTGTTCTACCTGCGGCACCACCAGCGTGGCTACATCGTCCTCACCCTCCTGTCCAGGCTCAAGACGGTCAGGGACCCCCAGTTGCCCTCTGAGTGGGGAGACCTAAAGGATTCTGCTTCTGATGAACCCCTTGTCCCTCACTGATAACTAAACCAGTGTTCCCAACCTGCCCCTGCCCCATAGTCCTGGGTCATAAACGCTTACTAACTGGGTCTGCAGCCCTTCCCTGTTTTGAAAGTTGTAGAATGTCCAAACAACAGAACTTCCTGTCACCCACTGTAGACGCTTCTGAGTAGGCCCAGGCAGATCTGATAGCTTTATGATGGCTGCATGAGTAGGGACCCCTTCCCAGCAGGGACTGGCACTGCCATTAGGAATGGAGACTCCAACCTGTGCCCTGTCTGCAGGTCCTAGGCGTTCTGCTGTGGTGTGTCTCCTGGGCGGACCTCTTTTATTCCTTCCATGGCCTCATCTCCAGCTCAGCCCCTGCTCCTGTCTTCTTTGTCACACCCTTGGTGGTGGGGATCACTATGGTTAGTGTGGGGCCCAGGAAATTGTGGGGAGGTCTCCCGTGGGGGATGGCGTATGCTAAGACCGTGGGCTCTGAGGAGGAGGGTGGGCACATGGCTGTGGTCAGAGGGTGAAATGACTGCCAAACATCTGGCCACACCAGAGGGGGTTAGAGCAGGCCCAGATGTGTGTGCTTGGGCCACGCCTTCCCTGCCCTTCCTGCACAGCTGCTGGCTACATTGTTGATCCAGTATGAGCGGCTTCGCGGGGTGCAGTCTTCAGGGGTGCTCATTATCTTCTGGCTACTGTGTGTGATCTGTGCCATCATCCCCTTCCGTTCCAAGATCCTCTCGGCCATAGCAGAGGTAAGAGGGTCAGATCTTCCAGGTCTAGCCCCGCTCAGGAGTGTGACTTCAAGGCTCAAGGTCTCCGCAGTCCCAGGATTCTCTTCGGCACCTTTCATGCTCTTCCTCCACCTACTATGTCTCCACTCGGTGGTAGGAAGTGGGAGATCTGAGCCGTGTAGGGAAATAGGTCAGAGATCCCACCATAGCTGTGTGCTCCTGGGAGGGCTGGGGTAGGCCAAGGGGAGGACAATTCTGAAACTGCCCTTCCCAAGGTCAGTATCTAATGGGGATGCCAGTGTCTGCCACGAGGACACGCGCAAGTGCACACCAAGTCCCGTTCCTTTGTTCTGATTCTTCCCACACGCTTTGGGGCAGGAGGCTTTGCTCTGTGATGGTGGGTGGGTTGAAGCACTGACAGTCAGGTGGCCCCCATCTCCCTCTCTCGGGAGGATACAGGCAAGGAGCCAGCTGCTGGTTTGTGTGTGTCAGCACAAGGCCTGGCTCAAGGCAGGTCCTCACCATGTCCCCACCCCCAACATCACAGCACTTCCCCCGCCACTCAGCATCCTTGGGGTGCTCCGGAGGAGTCTGACACCCCAGGGTGCTGCGCTGTAGGCCAGCCTTCCCAAAGGCTTCTGAGGTCCCTCTCCACTCTCCCCCAGGGTAAGATCTTGGATCCCTTCCGCTTCACCACTTTCTACATCTACTTCGCCCTGGTGCTCTGCGCCCTCATCCTGTCCTGCTTCAAGGATAAACCACCATTGTTCTCCACAGAGAACATTGACCCTGTGAGTTTGCCTGCTATAGGGGAGTGGGAGGGCTTCACAGGTTGTACCTCAGCTCCCCCCCCCCAATCTCACCCACAGTGGGGAATGTCACTTCCATAGCTTGTGGACAGGCTGAGAGCATGGATGGCCTCCCTGCCTCTCCTGGGTGTTGAGATGCTGGGTGATACTCCTGATCCCTTTGTCCCCTCCTCTCTCCTTCTAGAATCCTTGCCCAGAGTCCAGTGCTGGTTTTCTCTCCCGTCTGTCTTTCTGGTGGTTCACAAAGTAAGTGGGCTCTCGCTTTAGCTTAGAACCGAGGAGGGAGAAGTGAACTCCAAGAATCAGCCAACTTACCCCCTCCCCTCACTGCCACCCCAATAACTGAATGGGCTGACCAGGGTGGGCAAAAGTGTCTATTTGGGCTGGGGGTTGAGTGTGGCAGCTGAGCCTGAGGGATCTAGCTCCCAGGCTGTAGGACATCCCTGCATCTGGCAGGCCACAGGGACAGGCACAGCAGGCTGGAAGGAAACCATAATTAGCTCTGAGCGCTTCCATTTAGGATAAGCTTCCAGCTTGTCATCTCTTTGGCTGCCCCTCAGAGTGGCTTGAGCAGGATAATTGTGTCTGTGACACGGGTGACAATTCATTAACCGCATGCACCTGAGACTGGCCTGAACCCCTCCCGCCGAGTACACACACACTCAGGCCTGGCCAGTGTGGATTTCATCACCAGGGCCTTAGACAGATAGAGCACATGGGGACGTATAGGACAGAGGCAGAGAGAGGTGCCAGTCAGGAGGGGAGAGGCAACTCGCTGCCTGTAACATGTTCACTATGGCAATAACTGTGGGTGCTGCAATTTAAAGGGAGCTCCCTCGAACTTAGGCACTGGTCTTCTCAATTCTGACCCTGTGTGGGGATTCCTCCTCCCTCCTCCAGGCTGGCCATCCTTGGCTACCGCCGTCCTCTGGAGGAGCGCGACCTCTGGACTCTGGATGAGGAGGACTGCTCTCACAAGTTGGTCCAGCGGCTGTTGGAAGAATGGCAAAAGCAGCAAGCATCAGGGTGAGGCCTTCCTGTGCTGTAGGTCTCCAGCCTAACTTCTCAGTGTCCTGACCCTCCACTCCCCAGTCCTTTTGGTGTTCCTCAAACACCTAGGATGCATAGTGGGGGGAACAGCAAGTAGAGGGGATGTCCCTGCAGCCTTAGGATGCTGCATCTGGGAGCAAGGCCTGGGTGGGACCCGTCCTCCCAGGTTTGGCTGAGGACAAGAGGGTGCTGACGCTTGGGTACCATTCAGTGTATCCTAGGCACAGCTCTTGGCATATAGAGTACCTCATTCACTTTCTCAGCAGCCAAACTGTTCATTCTATGGTTCCCTTGACTCGGAGAGGGCACTGAAGCTTAGAGATTTAAAGATACAGCCAAGGTCTCCCCACTGATGCTGACAGAGCAATAATCCACACCCAACTGGTTCAGAGGCCCTAATCAGATCTCTATTCTACTGTGTCTGATTTTAATCAGAAAGTGCAAGGATTTTCCTAGTGAATGCGGGGCCAGCCCTCTCAATACAGCCTCTCTTGTCTGGAGACAGGCCTGGATGAGCTAGCCTGAGGCTGAGAACCTTTGAGTTGGCAGCATCCCATCCAGGACCCACAGACAAGACCTTTTCCCTCTTGCCCACAACCCAGAGTATAGAAGTTAATGCTTGGTCAGCCCAGAGTCACTGGTGGTCTTTAGCTGTTGGTAGAACAAGGGTAGGGCTTGGATAGCAGTATTGTGGCTTCCCTGCCCTGGAGCATCTGGAAAGGCCTCTGGAACCCCCAGTTGCCTGCTGTACTCCCTCTCTGTTCCCCAACACCATCTCTATCCCCCCTGTTCAACTGCTTAAGCCTAAGCCTCCTGCTGTACCTGGTCTGATCTCTCCTGTCTTAGTGTCCTTGCGAAAACCAGCTCTGGGAGGCAAGAAGAGAGCCAGAGACTTCTCTGAGCTGGGTACCCAGTGCTTTCAGCAAGCACCCCTGGCATCTGGAGACAGTCATCTGGGGAACTGTGCTGTCTAACCCCCTTCCAGTTCTGAAAGCCAAGAAAAAGCTACCACCACCTCCTCTTCTTCCTCTTCCTCCTCATCTTTTTTTCCTTCTCCCTGCCCAGCCTAGACTGGCTGGGCCCTTAGCCTCCTGGAACCACTTCCATCCACTGTTGTTTATTCCCCCAAACAGGCCTCAGACTGCAGCCTTTGAGCAGAAGATCCCTGGAGAGGATGAAGTCCTGCTGAAGGCCCGACCCAAGTCCCAGAAGCCCTTCTTTCTGTGGGCTCTGGTGAGAACCTTCACCTCCAGCTTGCTCATGGGTGCCTGCTTCAAGTTGATCCAGGACCTGCTCTCCTTCATCAACCCACAGCTGCTCAGGTCTCACTACGCTCCCTCTTGCTGTGGCTCTCTCCTGGGTGGAGGAGGGGTGGCTGGCTGCCTTAGAGCAGGAACTGAAGAGCTGTCTCTGCTTTCTGGGTGACCCTTGGTCCATGGTATTGACTGTGTACCTCAATTTCCCATTCCACATACATCTACACATATCAGGGGCATTTCAGGAGGAAGTGTCCCTCTTTGACCTTGTTCAGGAGTCCTCTGAGGAAGTACCTTCATTTCCCTTTATACAAATACGAAGGCAGACACTCAGGTGAAGCACACAGCTGGTAAGGCAAGGCAGATGTGAGTCCGGGGCTCTCAAGTCCAACTACAGAGCTCCTTCCACTTCTGCCAGCCTCTGCCATCTGTCACAGGAGAGGTTTGGACTGGAGGGAGCTCTCCAATGACAGGGTGAGATACGGAACTGAGCCCTGCATCGATTCCCCTTGTTGTACACATCCATTAATTCAACAAACGTTCATAGAGCACAACCGGCGCCCCTAGATTTGCGAATTAATTAAGGTAGTCTTAGGGTCTTGTGGGAGAAACCGAAGGTAATTCAGGAAGATTACAGTAGGTCCCAGGGCCTGAGAAAAGCCTGGGGAGTCCAGGAAGTCAGCCTGCCAGGGTAGAGAACAAGTGCCAGCTCCAAAGGTTATCAAAAGAAAGAAGTAAGAGAAGGAGGAGGGGAAGGTGCAGCCGGGTGAGTCACAAAGGGTTGGGGCAGTAATGACTGGAGAAAGCTACTGAAGGGTGGGGCAGGGATAGGGAGAGAGGAAGCCCTGGGAGGGATATCATGTTTACATTTCCAAAGGCTGACTCCCCTGAGTGTGGGAGGGGTAGGGCAGAGTAGCAAGATGCAGTTAGGCCAAGCAGGCCAGAGGGCAGCAGAAGCCAGGTGTGGGGCAAGGATCCAGGAGCTATTCTGTCAAATCAGCAGGTTCTGACCCCAGTGGGGTCATGAATCTTTCCCTGATTAGTGATTTCGGAGAAGAAAGAGGCTTAGGTACAGAGCTAAGTGTTGGCCAGCTGGGCCCTCCAAGAGGATGTCTCTTAGTGAAGGTACAGGGTCCCATATCTGGGGTTCAGCTCTCCTAGACAATCTGAGAGGTTGAGGCCTAAGCTTCTAATGCAACCAGTGCTGTCTCATCGTCTGTCAGTAGGGCCTCGGCAGACCTAAGAGACAAGAAGGGAGTGCTGGCCGGATTAGAGGTCCAGAGCTGGGGACACAAGATGAACAGAGAGTATGTCTCAGAGAAAGAGAGGCTTCCAGTACACGAAAATAACCCACAAACTCGGTCCCAAGAAGGCGGCATGAAGTTAGTTAGCAGCTTTGCCATGACTGGGGCCTGGGGCAGGGGGGAAGAGTCATTCCATTGCAGCGGAGAGTGTCTGCAATGAAATCAAAGACTCAAAATGTGCTGCAAAGACACCTGTGTAGTTTACAGAGCTGTTCTGACAAGTTACCATTGTGTGGACAACTTGAAACAATAGAAATTATTCCTTCAGTTCTGCCCCACTGTCCAAATCAGGGCATGGTGACAGGATTGGTGAGTTTTTCCTTGTTGTTGCTGTTGCTATTGCTTTGGTTTTTCGAAATGGGGTTTCTCTACGTAGTCCTGGCTGTCCTGGAACTCACCCTGTAGACCAGGCTGGCCTTGAACTCGCAGAAATCTGCCTGCCCCTCCCTCCTGAGTGCTGGGATTAAAAATGTGCACCACCACAGGTAGATCAGTCCTTTATTTTTTTTTTTTTTTTTTTTTTGAGATTCAGTCTTGCTATGGGGCTCAGACTAGCCTTGACCCCCTGCTTCAGGCTTTTGAGTGCTGGATTCAGACATTGTCCCATGCCCTGATTAAGACTGGTTTGTTTGTTTTTTTGTTTTTCATTTTTCAAAAAAAAAAAAAAATGAGTGTTTCTCCTGGGCCTGTTTTGGATTGTCAACAGTCCTTGGTTTTCCTGACATGAAAATTCATCACTCAGATCTCTGCATTTATCACATGCCTCTCTCTGTGTGTCTCTCTTTGTGTGTGCACGCACTCACGCACAAACACGCACTTGAGTGTGTGCAAATCTCCTACTCTTCTGAAAAAGAAAAACTACAGTCCCTGAATTAGGACCCACCCTACTCCAGGGTGCCTTCATCTTGACTGTTTATAGCTACAAAGACTCTATGTCTACATAGGGTCACATTCATAGGAACCAGAGGGTCAAGACACAATTCAGCACCCCGGAGAACAACAGGCTTGACTCTGGTGGTGCTGGGAAAGTTCCATGAGGTGGAGAAAGTTTGTCCTATGGCACAATGAGTCTTGGTCATGTTGACCAGTGAAGCACAGTGCTACCTGAAGAGATGACAATACTGAATATCACACAACCATGGGATCCAATCTTCCTGCTGGGGAAAGATCTGGTAGGAACATTGGATCCCGGGTTTAGGGAGACAGAACAGGGCTTGGAAAGTCAAAACAACTCCTCTTATAAGATGAAAACAAAGGACGAGCTTGGGGAACCTTGGAAATGTTGGGGAGTCAGGGAATTCCCAATGGGCAGTTCAGTGGGAAGATAAGGAGCTGCTGAGAATGGCAAGGAGTGGGAATAGGCCAGGAGGTAAGAGAAGAAAGATAGAGTCAAAGGAGAAGTAGACAAGGGCCTCAACAAAGGGGGCCAAGTGTGGGGGAGATCTGCGGAATGAAAATTCTTGTGGTCCTGTGGTGGGGTCTAGAAACCCCAGCATTCAAGAAGAATGAGTAGGAAGGTCTAACCCAGTGGTTCTCAACCTCCCTAGTGCTGTGACCCTTTAAAACAGTTCATCATGTTGTGGTGACCTGCAACCATAGAATTATTTTCATTGCTACTTAGTAACTGGAATTTTGCTACTGTTAGGAAATCGTAATGTAAATATTTTTGGGAGATTGAAGTTTGGCAAAGGGGCCCCGTCCCATAGGTTGAGAACTGCTGCTGCAGCCAGTGAAAATGTGCCTCTTCTGCCTACCGTGACATTCAAGGAGGAGAGGGCCGGCAGACAAGGCTGACAATAAGAGCTGTTGCTTTGGGGACAGGCTGAAGAGCGCACTGACCTCATACCTGCTCTCCTCCTGGCAGCATACTCATCAGGTTTATTTCTGACCCCACGGCCCCCAGTTGGTGGGGCTTCCTGCTGGCCGGGCTGATGTTCGTGAGCTCCATGATGCAGACGTTGATCTTACACCAATATCACCACAGCATTTTTGTGATGGCCTTGAGGATTCGGACTGCGATCATAGGTGTCATCTACAGGAAGGTCAGCCAGAGTGGGACGCACGCTGGGAGAGATCAGTTCTGGGCTGCTTGGGAGAGGCTCATGGGCTCCGTCCACCTTTTGCTCTTCATCTGTAGGCTCTGGTCATCACCAACTCAGTCAAACGTGAGTCCACTGTGGGAGAAATGGTCAACCTCATGTCAGTGGATGCTCAACGCTTCATGGATGTTTCCCCCTTCATCAACCTGCTGTGGTCAGCTCCCTTGCAGGTCATCTTGGCTATATACTTCCTCTGGCAGGTAACTCTTGAGCCTTGTCCTCTGTCCCCTTCCTCCGACGACATCTATCTGTTCTGATAGATGGGCTGTGTTGTGTGCCCATGAAACCACCCCTAGGTACCAGGGGAACTTGGTCACTCACTCTCCCTATCCTAGGTTGTGCTTCATCCCTCCAAAGTCAGGGGCAAGGGGTTCTCGGAGGCAGGATGGATGTAGCTGTCGTTACCACTGTTGGTCTGTTTGTACCATCTTCCCTGTGCATCCCCAAAGCCTCCTCCATCCCCGTCTCCTTCTCCACCCTGCCTTCTCCCTCCTTTTTCATCAACTTTGCAGTCCTGGGATTGAACCCAGAGCCTTGTGTCTGTCAGCACACACTCTGCTACTAACACCTCTGCCCTTTGAATTTATTATTTCAAGATGGGGGTCTGGCTAAGTGGCTCAGGCTGATCTTGAAATCATCTTGTAACCCAGGCAGGTTTCAAACCGTCTAAGAAGTAGAATCCCAGACCTGTGCCAGAGCGGCCAGTTTGGACAACCCTCTCCGTGTGCCGCTGACCTTCTGTGCTCGTCCTCTGAGAGCTGGCTGCTTCTGCTGATGTGCTTGTGGCTGTCTGTCTCCTTCCTGACTGATGTCCTTTTGCCTCTTGCCTGTCATGTCTCACGTTAGCCAGGGTCTGCTGAGCTCTGTCTACAGACCTTGGTTACCTATAAGTTCATCTGCCTTACCTGACCCTCCACGTGTATGCCTCCTCAGATCCTGGGTCCATCAGTCCTGGCTGGAGTGGCTGTCATAGTCTTGCTGATACCACTCAATGGAGCTGTGTCCATGAAGATGCGGACCTACCAGGTGGGTGCTCCTAAAGGCACCTTCATTAGATGGGAACACAAGTCGGGGTATGGCGCTGAGGGCCAGTGTTCATCTTCTGTTCTCAGGACCTCTCCACTCCCTGTACTGCATGAGGATGGCCACAGCCCCTTGTACAAACTGTAGTTAGTGACAGTCTTATTTCACAGCAGAAACCCCAAGGCCCAGAGTAACTGTGGCAGCCCAGAGACAGGGAGAGCAAGGACTCAAACCTGTTCTTACTTCACAGTGCTAAAGTGTTGGTAACCAAACAATGACTTATCCATCTGCAAGCGATTGCTGAACTTTTCAGAAGCTCCCTCTACACATAGAATAAATGACAAACTACCTAAGACCACTGTCTTAGTCACTGTTCTATTGCTGTGAGGAGACACCATGACCAAGTCAACTCTTGTAAAAGAAAGCATTTAATTGAGGACTTCCTTATAGTTTCAGAGGTTCAGTTTGCTATCAGCATGAAGGGGAGCATCATGGCAGCATGCATGGCAGACACGGTGCTGGAGAAGTAGTTGAGAGCTTTATTCTCATCCAAAGGGAGAGATTGGGTTCAGCATGGGCTTCTGAAACCTCAAAGCCCACCCTAGATGACATACTTTTTCAAACAACAGCACACCTCCTAATCCTTCTATTCTTTCTAATGGTGCCACACCCTGGTGACTAAGCATTCAGTATATAAGCCACTCTCAGTCACACCAACCACCCTCCAAGCTACCTTGGACCTTGCGTGCCTCCATTTCTATTCCTCATGGGATGGTCACATTCCAGACATGCTGACTTTTCCTTTCTTTAAGAACCAAACTCTGTGTATACCTCTACATGCACTCTTCCCTCTTTCTGGAATATTCCTCGCTCTCCTTACCTCTTTAACACCTTCCCTTCCTTTACCTCTCAGCAGAAACATCACTTCCTTCAGACAACTACCTTGATTATGCCAAGGTCTTTCCCCTGCCCCTACCTGTCTTTCCCCTTACTGCAGCCTGTTCTTTGCCTTTGGAGCGCACACAATGATTTAGAATTAAGCATCTATTTTGGTAATTACTTTCCCATTTGTTTGTTTTGAGACAGAGCCTCTCTATGTAGTCCTGGAATTCACTATGTAGATCAGGCTGGCCTTGAACTCATAAAAAATCCACCAGCCTCAGCTTCCCAAGTGCTGGGATTAAAAAGCATGCGCCACCATGCCCAGCCTGGCCTTTGCATTTTATTGCCGGCTTCTGACATCAGACTGTTGGTTGCATGATGGCCTGGGCCGCATCCGAATTGTCCATCATGATATCCTTCATTTGGCACACGGACACTCAGGCGCTCAGCACACAAGCGCCGAGTGGACAAATCACTGTGGTATGCCAGGCCTTAGATTAGGATCTGAGTGAACAGAAAAACAAACAATTCCTGCCCCCTGGGAAGCACACAGTCTGACTGGGGACATTGTGTAAAGGGCTAGGGGTGGGAACGGAAGGCAAGGGCAAAGGATGTTACCTGGTGAGGTCAGTGGTGTTGACACTGAAGATGGAGCTGAGCCATCTCTCCAGCCCCAGAGCTGTACTTCTGAGTCAGATGACACAGGCTGTGGGGGACAGGGGTCTAGGCATTTGAGGTGGGGTGGGGAAGCCCGTCAAGAAAACTGCAAAGGCTACAGTCGATGAGATGGTATGGGAGGTGTGAGCCTGGCGGACAGGAGGTTGGTGGGCAGGGGAAGGTAGGCCATTCATCCTTTCGGTACAGGTACGGCAAATGAAGTTCAAGGACTCTCGCATCAAACTGATGAACGAGATCCTGAATGGCATCAAAGTGCTAAAGCTGTATGCGTGGGAGCCCAGTTTCTTGGAGCAGGTAGAAGGCATCCGGCAGAGTGAGCTTCATCTTCTGCGCAAGGGTGCCTACCTGCAGGCTATCTCCACCTTCATCTGGGTCTGCACCCCCTTCCTGGTGAGGATCTCCACTGCTATGGGGTTCCCTGGCTGTTACTAGGCCAGCCCACGTCTTGAGGTTCCCTGTTGCCTAACAGACTCCACCGTGACACTCGTTCCCATGCTGTCCAGGTGACCCTGATCACCCTTGGAGTGTACGTGTGTGTGGATGAGAACAATGTGCTGGATGCAGAGAAGGCCTTTGTGTCCTTGTCCTTGTTCAACATCTTAAAGATCCCCCTCAACATGCTGCCTCAGTTAATCAGTGGCATGACCCAGGTAAACCAGGGCAAGTAGGGTGTTTGTTGGACTTAGGATATGGGGAAAGCCAGGCAGGGGTCACTTAGTATCGATGGGAAATCAAATAGTGAGAGTTCCTGGGGCCAGGGAAAGCTGTGGAGGTTGTGGGTGGTTTGGAGTCACGGGGCCTGAGCTCCTGACACAGCCTCCTTATAGCGATCTGGACCTTATCTTCAGGCAGTGGGAGCCTTGTAAGACTTGGTTATAGAAGGGGCCCCAGCATTAGTGAGTAGGTCCTATGCTTAGCCCTAGACGTTGGGCACCCATAGAGCAATGGTAAGGCTAACTCACAACCTCCTGCAGGCCAGTGTGTCTCTGAAACGAATCCAGGATTTCCTGAACCAAGATGAACTTGACCCCCAGTGTGTGGAAAGAAAGACCATCTCCCCAGGTCCCAACACTCTTACTCCAGAGCAATCCTGCTCCAAACTTTCTAAGACCCCCCCTTCTCTGAATTCTACAGCCCCTCCCCAATCCATCTCCCTCCTTTACCCCTCCCCCAGGCTCCTCATGCCCCTCCCTCTGTCCTTGCTCCAGGGATTCCCCTCCTTTGCCCAGCCTCCTCCCAGGCCTCCCAAGACCCCTGACCCTATGCATCTTGTCCTCCCAGGCTGTGCCATCACTGTGCACAATGGCACCTTCACATGGGCCCAGGACCTGCCGCCTACCCTACACAGGTACCACCAGCTTCTCTCACTCACTCGCTATCTATGCCAGGCAGACAGAAGGTCAGATCAAATGTAGTCCCTTCTCTTCCTGTCTCTGTCTTTGACAGGGAATGCCAGAAGAACCTGCTTTTGACAGGATGGTGTCAGGGAGGGAGGGGGGTCTTGGGTCTGCAGGTGGAAGGCTTGGACCAAACCCAAATCTCACCACTGACCATTCCTCCTTGCTCTCAGCCTAAACATTCAAATCTCAAAGGGGTCGCTGGTGGCTGTGGTGGGCCCTGTGGGCTGTGGGAAGTCTTCGCTGGTGTCTGCCTTACTTGGAGAGATGGAGAAGTTGGAAGGCACAGTGTCAGTGAAGGTGAGATGGACAGAGGGCTCCTGGGAAGGGGTAAAGTCTGGGCAGCCTCAGACAAACCCTAAGGCAGCCTCTCCGCTGGCCAGGGATCGGTGGCCTATGTACCCCAGCAGGCCTGGATCCAGAACTGCACTCTTCAGGAAAACGTGCTGTTTGGTCAACCCATGAGACCCAAGCGCTACCAGCAGGCTCTGGAGACCTGTGCCCTGCTGGCCGACCTGAATGTGCTTCCTGGTGGGGACCAGACAGAGATTGGAGAGAAGGTACAGAGCCACCTCTTCAGCCCCAGTTCATGCAGTTGCTAGCTTGAACCCAACCTCAGATTTCCACACTCATTTGCAAGTTCGTGTCCAATTACATCCAGCTCTGTGCCAGGAAGCAGCTCTATTCCAGAGAGAGTGACTCATGAACAGACAGGGACCACAGAATGCCCGGGGTCACAACAAAGGCCTATGCAGGGTGGAAAAAGAACAGTAGGCAGGGGTAGAAGGGTCTCTATAAGGAGAAGCATCGCTCTTGAGCTGACACTTTTTCTTTTAGTAATTTATTTGAGTTCATTTTATGTGCATTGGTGTGAAGGTGTCAGATCCCCTGGAACTGGACAGTTGTGAGCTGCCGTGTGGGTGCTGGGAATTGAACCCAGGTCCTCTGGAAGAGCAGCCAGTGCTCTTAACATGTGAGTCATCTCTCCAGCCCCTTGAACTGACTCTTGATGACTGAGAACGAGGAGCTCGTCATTCACTGAGGCAGCCAACAGGTTTTTATTAAGCATCTGCCAGGGACTATGACATGGTGGGGAATGCAGCAGGGGAAAAATGTCTGGTCTTGTACACCTTACATTCCAGCAGAGGAAAGAAAGACAAAAAGCAAGATAAACAAAATGTATATTAGATAATCCTAAAGTGGGGAAGATAAGCAGCTCAGGAATTTAAGAATTTGGGCTGGGCTGTTTTGTTTGGGAGATTTAGCACTGAGAAATAGAGTCCTGACCAGAAGGAACAACAGTCATGTAGAGGACTGGAGATCCCTGGCCATCTAGGGACCTAGTCTGGAGCCATCTGAGTAGAACAGACAATTCAAAGCCTCAGGCAGGTATGTGACTGGCCATTAGCCCAAGGAGGGGAACAATGTGGTTGGAGCAGAGTGACCCAGGGGAAGAAAGGGAAGCGAGGGAGTCATCAGGCCAGACAGCTTGGATGCAAGACTGTGGTTTTTACCCAGGGTGATAGAAGGACCTCAGAGAGTGAGTCTATGCGCAGTGGGCAATGGTCCTGATTGTCTTGGAACTCCTTACTTAGACCAGGCTGGCCTTGAACTCTCGGAGATCCTCTTTCCTCTGCCTCCCCAGTGCTGGGATAAAAGATGTACACCACCAAGCCCTGTTTGACTAGGGCCTTTGAATTATAAAACATGGGGCTCCAGTGGAAGTTTTGTTTTTCTTTGTTGGGTTTGCGTTTTATTACATGAATGTGTGTGAGAGGTGCGTGGGAGAGCCCACAATTGCTACAGTGTGTGTGGAGGCCAATTTTTTTATTCTTTCCCCCTTGGGTACTGGAAACCAAACTCAAATCCTTTGATTTTGGTGGTGAGCTCCTTTCTCTGTACAGCTACCTTGCTTTTGTTTTTAAAGTATTTCCTAAGATGTGGAATGGTCACCTAGTATTACATGCACTCTCTTCACTATCTTTCCGTGCCCAGCTCAGTTACATTATGTACATTTGCAATGTTATGCAATAATTACTAGAAGCTGGGCATTCCAAATGTCACTCCAGCCTTGTTGTCTGTCCTTATTGAACAACTATCAATTATTCCTCCCCAAGCCTCTGGCAACCACTGCTTTGTTTTTCAGGCTCTGACTATCTAGACACTGGTGTGAGTGGATTTGCATAATATTTGTCTTTTTTGTATCCAGATGGTTTCACGTGGCAATAATGGCCTCAAAGTTCATTTATGTTGTAGCTCATGTCAGCATATTCTTCCTTCTTAGGACTGAATAAAATTCCAGTCTATGGATATACCCCCTGTTGTTTTTCCTGGTCATCTGTCATGAACACTGGCATTGGGCAGAGCAGCCAACTAGACAGGGTGCTGAATAGGTTTATCTGCCCCAGAGGAGTCTAAGAGCCAACACCCACTCCTCCTACGACTTTAAAGTGGAGACAGTCAAGTATCCTATGAAATAGATATTCAAAGGTCTGCCTTGCTGAGTGACAAAGAGTTGGCTCTTGTCCCCCGTGGGTCTATCGGACCCCTTCCATCTACCACCATTATTGGGGTCCAATGCTAGCCCAGCTACACACTGTACATCACCCGCCTTCTCCTCCCTCTAGGGCATTAACCTATCTGGGGGCCAGCGGCAGCGGGTGAGTTTGGCCCGAGCTGTTTATAGTGATGCCGACATTTTTCTGCTGGATGACCCGCTGTCTGCCGTGGACGCTCATGTGGCTAAACATATTTTTGACCAAGTGATTGGACCAGAAGGTGTGCTGGCAGGCAAGGTGAGGCCACAGAGAGTGGGAACAAAAATGAAATTTGGTCCTGGGGGAGAACAGATGGGAGGTGTGGGGGCAGACCTGGAGATATAGGAACCTGAGGAGCAGAATACAATCTGGGGAAACCCATAGGGAGGTACACCCCAGAGATGCTAAGCAGGCTCTGGCTAGTGTGAGGTACGTTGTGGATATGCCTGGCCTATGACTCCTCGGGTTTGCCCCGTGGCTCTGTACCCCTGATCGGGGGTATGCCTAAGGATGCTGCAGCTCAGAGCCTGTTGCCTTCTCCACAGACTAGGGTGCTGGTAACCCATGGCATCAGCTTCCTGCCTCAGACGGACTTCATCATTGTGCTTGCTGACGGACAGGTGTCTGAGATGGGCCACTACTCGGACCTCCTGAAACATGATGGCTCCTTTGCCAACTTCCTCCGAAACTATGCGCCAGATGAAGACCAGGAGGACAGCGAAGGTGGCAAAAAATTAGTACCCACCAACCCTGGCCTCCCCAACGCCCATCCTTCCTCAGCATCCACCTTGTCTAGGGTTTCTAAGTATCTCTGGACTGGCCTAGTATGGTGCTGGGGACCTAGTTCTGGGAAGCAGAGCCACCTGGGTGATAAATGAACTGGATCCATGCAGATTCTACCTTCTCTCCCCTAACTGTGGGGCCCTGTATCAGCACCATGGGTCTCGGAGTCTGTTTTTCTGTTTGTTAAAAGAGAATGAGCCGGGCGGTGGTGGCACACACCTTTAATCCCAGCACTCGAGAGGCAGAGGCAGGCAGATCTCTGTGAGTTCGAGGCCAACCTAGTCTACAGGAGCGAGTTCCAGGACAGGCTCCAAAGCTACAGAGAAACCCAGTCTCAAATAACCAGGAAAAGAAAAAAAAAAAGGGACACATGAGCTCAGACCTGGAGTATGTAGGATAGCTGTTTTATGGTTGAATTGCTTTGTAAGTATCTAAGTACTTGGCAAAATCACTTAGTTACCAACAGGAGTTGTTAAATGACTACATACAATTGTTGTTAAATGACCTAGAACCTGGAACTATTTCAGACAGTAGACTGACAAAAAGCCCCTCCCTACATGAATCCCGGAGTAGTGTCTGAGCTCACAAAAGGCCCAGCTCCCCACTTTGTGGCCCAGTCAGGGCTCCCCTACTTCAACACTCTGTTCTGGGGCCTTCTCTTGGGCTTCCCTGCCTGCTGCTGTGTATGTAGCCAACCGGCATGAGCATTCCCCAGTGCTCTGCCCTTGAGAAGCATCCTTTCCTTAGTTCTCACAGTGACTGGCGGTACCCTTTGGCCATGCCTGCCTAAGGCCCTGCTGCCCTCAAGGAAGTAGGATTTAAGGTCAGCCAGTCAGACTGACGTCAGAGCCCCGGTCTTCAGCCTATTGAGTCCCCTTTTCTACAGTCTCCAAATGGAAGATTTTGTGTGTGTGTGTGTGTGTGTGTGTGTGTGTGTGTGTTGCCTAACCCATTTCCTTCTGACTGGTTTCTGCCCCCAGAGACAGGGTTTCTCTGCATAGCCCAGGCTATGCTAGAACTCACTCTGTAGACCAAGCTGGCCTCTAACTCACGGAGATCCATAGGTCACTGCCACTGGAGTGCTGGGATTAAAGGCGTGTGCCATCACTGCCTGGCTTCCTTCTGGTTATCTTTGCAAATTCTCTGCTCGCCCCCTTGCGTGTCCATCCAGCCTCCCACTGGCATGGAGGATGGGGTCTCGAGGGCTGCAGAAGGAGCAATCAGTCTCTGTGACTTTTCCTTCCCTACTGCAGCCTTGCAAGATGCAGATGAGGAGGTGCTGTTGGTTGAAGACACGCTCAGCACCCACACAGACCTGACGGACAATGAGCCATCCATGTATGAGGTCCGCAAGCAATTCATGAGGTAAGTTCCCAAGAGTTCTCAAGTCCCCCCGAAGGCTACATCAGGGCCACCAAACCCCAGCAGGTAGGACACAAATGGACATTCTCCCTGACGCTCGAATCCCGGGAGCGTGTCCGTGGTCCCCCACCTGGGTCTGACCAGCTGCTTCCACAGACAGATGAGCTCCATGTCTTCAGAAGGGGAGAGCCAGAACCGGCCTGTGCCCAAGAAACACACGAATCCATCAGAGAAGGAGATGCAGGTGATGAAGGCCAAGGAGACTGGTGCACTGATCACAGAGGAGACGGCGGAGACAGGCAATGTGAGTCGAGTGGGCATGGGCTGGAGATGGTGATCGGGTCCCCGGGGCACGTACAGATTGTGTGGGCACTCTTTACAGGTGAAGATGAACGTGTTCTGGGATTATGCCAGGTCTGTGGGGCTGCACACCACGCTAGTTATCTGCCTCCTGTATGCGGGCCAAAGTGCAGCATCCATTGGAGCCAATGTGTGGCTCAGTGCCTGGAGCAATGATGCGGTGGTAGATGGCCGGCAGAACAACACCTCCCAAAGGCTCGGTGTCTACGCTGCCCTAGGAATACTACAAGGTGAACATATTGGGGTTCCCAGAAGGGGATCCCTCATCCTTTCTCTCCTTTGCTGACTCCCCAAACCACAGAACCATATATTCCTGTCTTAGAGCCTCCCTAATTCCACCTAGGCATCCCAAGTCTCATTCTGCCCTTCTGTCCTGGCCTCCTCCCTTGCAGTAAGTGACAGTAAGTGACCCATCTTCTACTTCTCCCAACAAGGGCTCCTGGTGATGCTGTCAGCCTTCACCATGGTGGTCGGCAGTGTCCAGGCTGCCCGCCTGCTGCATGCAGCTCTGTTGCACAACAAGATTCGCTCGCCGCAGTCCTTCTTTGACACGACGCCCTCGGGCCGCATCCTCAACCGTTTCTCTAAGGACATATACGTCATCGATGAGATTCTGGCCCCCACCATCCTCATGCTGTTCAATTCCTTCTTCCTATCCATATCCACCCTTGTGGTCATCGTGGCCAGTACGCCGCTCTTCATCGTGGTTGTCCTGCCTCTGGCTGTGCTCTACGGCTTCGTGCAGGTGACAGTGTGGATGGGTAGGACACCGCATGGGGCAGGTGGAGCTCTAGAGAGGTCACGGTCACGGAGTGTGTGAGCTCACGGTGGGGGCGGCGGGAGGGGGCTCTGATTGGACCAGGCACTTTTGTAGGCTAGGTTGTGGGTGAATTGGATCAGGGACTTGGGTCAATTGCTTCACTTCCTTGAAACTCCCTTATCTAACCTGTAAAATAGACTCTTCGAATCTAATTCATAGGGATGATGTGAGGACTAAACGTGTGTTTATAAACTGACAGCCATGGGGCCCTTTCCAATTGGCTGTATTCTATCTATCTATCTATCTATCTATCTATCTATCTATCTATCTATCT